TAATCTGTTCTTTTTCAAATTAAATCATTTAAATTCTTTATTAATTTCAACAATAGTTTACTATTACATATCGAAAATTAAATTGGGATAAATTAAAAAAAAATTTTGATAAAAATTAATTTTTTAATGACATCAAAGAAGATTTGTTCGGAAAGGGTATTAACCTCGAAATTTGTCGTGGCTTGCATTTATGCCCCTCATCCTCTCCCCATTGCCCCACACTCAATCACGTGTCACATTTCACTCCTCTTAATTGTTAACAGCCCAAAATAATAATAATAATAATAATTTACTAAACCGAGTAAACAGTGATAAATTTCAACAAGAGAAAACATAATTAAACCGGGAGAGGGTAAACCGTATACCGGTGCCTTTTATCATTTATGTTCCCGAGTTAGTAAATTATTTGGCACTAATTACATTCAGAGACTTTTTGACTTTCTGGAAGATTCCATTTTTTTTTTAATTTTTAAAGTACTGCTATAGGACTACGTTTGCCCGTACCAAGGGATTGAAGGGAAGAGGTTTTGCGGGAAAAATGAATTGAACGGAGAAGGTAACGGCGTTAGGTGAAAGAAGTTTGAAGACGTGAAAGTCATCGTGCAGGAGTCTGTTAGAGTTACTTGTCATATCAGTGAAACAGGAGAATCCGTGATTCTTTGGCTACACTCTGCGCCTACAGGAAGGTTCCGGTTGCTCTGTCCAATGCATCAGTTCATGCTAATCTATATGTTTGGAATTTTCTTCATTTTTAAATCCTTTTTCATAAAATTTGCACAAAGAGTTTATTAAAAAAATTAATGTTAATTCAATAGAAACTAGAAAGTAAACCGAAATATGTTTTTGGTATATGCAGGCTCACATATGAATTATCTCTTATTATTATACGCAAAATTATTATTTTATTTAGGATAATTGGCGCAAAACGTCCATAACTTTCAAGGTTATTATGAAAAACGTCCATACTTTTCATGTTTTGACATTTTTGTTCTTATTTTCACCTTTCTTTGCGCTGAACGTCATTTTCACTGTTTTTTTGACAATTTTATCCTCCATTCAAATGAAACAAAAAGAAACGAAAGAAAAAAACATATAATTAATTGCAACCACAGTCCCAAAATTTCAAAAAACTACAAATCAGTCACAAATATAGGAGGGAAGCCCCATCCAGTTTTTTGTCAATCAAAGGTGATGTTTGGGTTCAAAATTGGATCAATTGGTGCTATAATTTCTGGAATTGATAGTGCATCCACTGTTTTTTATGCATGCACTGGACGAATTGATGGAGTTAGGCATTGCAACCCCTTCGATTGATGGAGCCATGTTTTTGTATACGGTCGAAACAGGCTTTCGAGCTTGGATGATGAATTGGATGATTTGACGGTATAACCATCGACGTTTGGCACTGAGTAATCATTTCCCCAAGTTGATTTGAAGGTTGAAGCAGTTTCAAAGCCTCAATTGAATGGAAATTTAAACCTGCTTGCGTATGAACTATACCGGAGTGGATCGCAAGATTTGTACCAAATTGTGAAAGATCCATAGGTGGAATAGCTTCGCCATCTAGATGGGGTGGTCCACTATCAAGATATCGACCATCGTCGTCGAAAATAGCTTCTGAAGTCTGCGTGTTGACTGCGTGCGAAAATAGTGGCCGCAATTATTGATTGGGTAGTTTAATAGGTGTTTGGTGACCAGTATGATGTGATTGGGCTGAGAGTCGCCGAAGATGGAGTTGCCAACAGTTTTGTGTGAAGCGAATGGATGGTTTTGGGACTAAATTTCAATCAAATTAGATGGAGGTAGGAACGATTCTAGGATGGGCTGTATAGAGGGCAACTAGGGCTTCAAGGTGGTGTATTGGTCCGATGGTTTTGGTTGCCGGAAGGTGTCGAAATGGGGCTTTATATTTGGCATCTTATATTTGCGACTGATTTGTAGTTTTTTGAAATTTTGGGACTGTGGTTGCAATTAGTTATATGTTTTTTTCCTTTTTGTTTGATTTGAATGGAGGGTAAAATTGTCAAAAAACAGTGAAAATAACGTTGAGCGCAAAGAAAGGTGGAAATAGGGGCAAAAATGCCTAAAAATGAAAGGTATGGACGTTTTGCGCCAATTATCCTTTTATTTAAAAACCGTTTAAAGTTCTGGCAACTGAAAAATATTTAAAAAAATTTATGAACAACTCGAAAAATATTTAAGTTAATGCGATTAGGAAACATTTGTTCAAGCAATTGAAATATGAGATTGTTGGCACGGTATCATGGACAAACTAATAATTGTGCATATGTATTGTCACATTTGATGAAAAAAAAATGAATTTTATTTTGCATGTAAGGAACCTGCAGAATTTTCTACTCATTGCATTGAACCGTTTTGGAGGATTTCTGTAGCATCTGTCTTCAAAATAATTATACTGTCTTCTTGAACTATCTCTACTATGTTGAAAAAATCATATATGTTAGAGTCCACTTCATCAATTGCTTCATATTCATTCTTAGAAATATTCTCATTAGAGTTAAAGAAAGAAGATAATGGTGCTTGTCGTTGAGGTCAATCAGCCCCTTCAGTTCCATGTGTGAAATAATAAAACTGAAAACTACGTATTGTTAGGGAAAAAAAAAATTGAACTTCGTCTCGTATTCAAATTAATCAACACTATGGAGATTTTGTACATCGTGATACATGCCTGCCTATTTACGATGCATTCACAAGTGCTATTTCTATGTATATCGACCTTGGTCATTCATTACGAACTCACCAAAGTAACAAATAGGGAGCATTAATGTCGACTTCATATTTACATTTCAACACAAATGTTTAAAAAGTTAATTATCCAATCAAAACAGACCCTTAATATCAGGGTGTTAATTGAAAGGATAGACAGTCAATTAACTGATCGCCTCTATTTCACCTAACACAGCACAGAATGCAGACTTCTTCCCAATAAACTTGAACAAAAATTCACTAATTTGTCCAATAGTTTGTGCCCTTTTATCTAAACAAACTAAATCAAGTCACTACAACATTTAACAATTATATAAGAATACAAAACATTGAAATTTCAGTTTCTAATTACTGTTCATGAGATACTTGTATTAAATTTTGAAGACAAAAATTAATAAATAGAATAGCAATTATAAGATTAAGCCTTTGTATGGTTCCCATTTTTTTCTCATTAAAATGAAAAATATGATCGTTATCCATCACATCAAGTCACTGAATTTGAATTTCTATATCTTGTATGGGACCCATAACGGCTATATTTTTCATTTTCATTATTTTAAAAATGAGAAACAAACGGTGCCCAGAAGAATATGAAATATCAATTCTCTTTTTACGATTGAAAGACATTCATGTCTTGTATTAGCTTTTTTAGTAGTTTTTA